GTACTGTACAGCAATTCTACAACACATACTACCTTCAGTAGTGTTTCAAACTCTTCTCTTATCAAGGAATGTGTCAGTATTAGTATACATGACTTTCAAGCCAGACTTTGTTCTTAGTAACATCTCTGATCTTGATTGTGACTCCGGCCTCTCTCCATTCTCAGTAGCTGTACAGTACAGAACCCCCGAGCGAAAAGTTACTAGCCAGGATTGAAAGTTACTTGCCCAGACAAGAACTTAATAGTCACAGGCGATCGGGATCAGGGTTGCCAACTCGGATTTTCAAATGTCGCTAGGCTGGTACCTAAAAGTAGCTAAATTTCGCTAAATCTTCCATGGAAAGTCGCTAGCTATTATTCCCCCCCTTCAGTAATTTGATGCAAATAATATTTTCATAATGCCGACTATAATGGACGGAGTATAAATAAAATGCATTTTGTAAAAATATCATTTTTCAGATTTTCTGTGAAATGTGGCGCAAGAATATTGCATATTATCCCAGAACACTTTGATCTTTTTAACCTGAGTTCACTGCCTGCCTTGCTGTCACTAAAACATACTTTACACACTTCACTTAAGTGTTCTACCACACGAATAGAACAATGTTCAGCTACAAACATGGCCAGAGTTCCCTCCACTTTTTTTGCTTCACCAAGTTTCTTGAATGGTAAAATTGTCTGTCTTTCTGCACTAAACGGTTCTTCTGCTTTCTTGTGTTTTTTAGTGTTTTTGTGTTTTTCAATGTCGCACAACTTAGCAGACAAAGTACACTTGCAAAATTTACAAAATCCTTTTTTATTATCTCCTGGCACCTCCAGAAGCCAATTTTTGTATCTGTCATCTCTGAGCCATTCCTTCCTAAATCGCTGCGAATACTGTGGCTTACCCATTTTCTATTGGGACTATGAAGGGTTCAAATTAATAAACAGCATGCAAACAAGCGGAAACTTTCCTTGATGGTTTTTGGCAAAGCGGGTGAACAGTGTCGACCTGCAGGGCAACTGTATGGAGTCTATGGGTCACCCATGGTGGACGCGGATGAGAAGTTTGGAGCCACGCAGGCTTGATAGAATTAATTCTATAAGATGTTTTGCTAATATTCTTTAAAATTTAGCGTATTAATGAAATTCATATTGCATATCTGACAAAAAGGTAAGTTACCCAGGTGCTACAAAGGCGAAGGTAATAGACAAATAAATGACGACACGGCAACATTAGCCATGGACGGGCTGACATAAAGTGATCAGGAAATAGACGTGTCCCTCCTTCTGTACCACGACCCGTTCAAATGTATTATACTTTTCTTATTATTTATTGTCCCTGTAACCCCGTTGCTATATATTATGGCTCGAAATTAGGAAAACTGAGTTTTCATGGACAGTCCAAAAGTATCCAGAAAGTCGCTAGATTTCTGTGGATGTCTCTAGATTTGCGACAAGTCGCAAATCGCTCTAAAATGTCGCTAGAAAATAACAAAAAGCTCTAGATCCAGCTACAAAGTCGCTAAGTTGGCAACTCTGATCGGGATAGCCTCACTTTTGCTTCCTATTGGAGGCTGTACTATTATCAGCTCAAACTAGTACCAGTTTATACTAGTTTTAGCTCATGCTATCTTCAGCTCATACTACTATATGGTTTATGTTCCTGATAGTATCAATTAAGGGGCGGATCCAGGAACATCAAAAGAAGTTGTGGTTAGTGGAACAAGAGAAGCACAGCAAGCCCGCCCAGCAGGGGGTTGGAGGTGGGGTGCTGTAAGCCCCCCCCAAGAAATTTTTTGGAAATCTGACCAATAACATCGGCATTTTGAGGCCATTTTGAAGCCATGTGCACTTGATATTAGGGAATATTCCGAGGTCAATTATAATTACTTTTTACTTTACAAAAACGCCTGAGTACAATATTGCATTAAAGAAAGTCTTGGAATTTCCCTATGAAAAGGGGGGGGGGGCCGGCGGACCCCCCAGCCCCCCCTGGATGTTCCCCTGCAATTTATCATCAGCTCACACTCGTATATTTAGTAGTTGTCAACACCTACTTATATACAGTATTCAGTCTTATATAGGGAGAATGTGGAAAAAAAAATTCTATAGCTTTTCCATGGGAAATTTATATATTTTTTTAGCATTTTAACCGATAAAATTACCAACATTTTATTTGTTGAAAGTGGGCTGGGCTTTGAAGTAGAGGGAAAATGTAGGGACAAATACTAAAAAGAACAAACAAACCTTTAAAAACCTGACCTCACTTTCCTTGTTTGTAATAAGGTTAATAATCACTTTCGAGTTTATGGGTCTCTCTTCGTCTGAACACCGAAAAAAACTACCATCACATACCAAACACTGAAAACACCATCACATACTAAACACCAAAAACATGATTAAAGTAAATTTCTTTTAGTTTTAGGATTTTATAGGTTGGGAGAAGTTAGGTAACGTTTTTAAACGAATGATTTTTTTTTTTTTTTACGCCTGTTTTGAACAACTAATATTGTTGGTAATTGAGGGGGGTCATATTGGTTAAAATACTTGAAAAAATATAAATTTCCGACGGAAGTGGTACAGAAATTTTTTTTTTTTTAGTATTTTTCTCTTTCTTCGTGCATAAGACAAAATATACAAGTAGATGTTGGCAACTACTGAATATTAACCCCAACTCATACTGTACTAATACCATCACCTATTAGTGCCAACTCCTATTACTTGTGTGCCAACACATTCTAGTACCAACACACATAAGTGATGACTCATAATAGTACCATCACCTTTAGTGCCAACTAATACTAGTGCCAATAAGCTTTGGTCCCAACAAACACCAATGCCGAATCATGCTAGTGCCAACACACACCAGCTCGTACTAGTAACACCTCATTTCAGTGCCACCTCATACTAGTACTATCTCGCACTACTATTATCCTCTTCACCACTGATTGGCTCGCCAGCCCAATCAGTCATGCCTCCGCCACTCTTCTTTTTCTTTTATCCTTTTCACCAAATGATCGGCTCGTTAGCCGCTTGGGCGACCGGTCATTTCTCTGTTATGCACTGTTGGCAAGTACAGTACTGGGCATGCACTGGCTCCTGAATGTACCTGAACCTGCTCTAGTGTTGGTCAATTCTGGTCTTGAAAGAGCTCACACTCGGTGCCGTCACAACACTTTCTGGTAGATTGTTCCAAGAGTTCACAACTCTCACTCCGAAAAAGTTTGCCCTCACAGTTTTCTGGACTTGCAGCTTCTTCAATCTTGAGCTGTGACCCCTTGTGGGGCGAACGTCCGCCAGCTTCAAGTAAGAACACTCGACTGAGTAGTGCCCCTTGAGATGCTTATACACCTCAATTAGGTCACCCCTTGCCCGTCTGTAGTATAAGCTAGGCAAATTCAGGCGTTCCAATCTCTCAGGGTAGCTAAGGTGCCAAAGTGCAGGCACTAGTCTGGTGGCCCTCCTTTGAATATTTTCAACCAACTGACAGTCCCTAGCATATCTCAGGGACCAGGCGGGGTGACAGTACTCCAGATGGGGAAGCACTTCACTCTTGAAGATCGTTACGAGGGACGGACCGTCTAGATATCTGAACGACCTTCTTATAAAACCCTATAATTTATTTGCCTGATTTACCTTCTCCTAATGGCCAGAGAACTTCAGCTCATTGTCAACATACACACCTTGGTCCTTCTCACATTCAGTCTCAAATAGTGCAGTTGCTTCATCTCGTTGGGACATATGATACGCCTCCTTACCGTTGGTACGCCCCAGGTGCATCCTCTTACACTTCGTGACATTGAATCTCAACAGCCATTTCTTCGACCAATCTTGGAGCCCACAGAGGTCCTTCTGCAGCTCTTCACAGTCCGCTTGGTTCTTGATTTCCCGAAATAACTTGGCGTCATCAGCAAACATTTGTATGGAGGAGTGTACAATGTCAGGCATGTCATTTATGAAACTAACAGACAACAGCGGGCCCAATACACTGCCCTGTGGCAACCCTGTGGTACTAATCCTACTAGTACTAGCTCATACTAGTTATATCACCTGCTATAATAGTACCAACTCATACTAATACCTGTACCAACTCATATTAATACCTGTACCAACTCATATTAGTACTAGGTCATATTAATACGAATTCATATTATTAAGAGGTCGTATTAATACTAATTCATATTAGTACTAGCTCATACTAATACCAACTTATAAAAATAGTACCAACTCATACTAGTATCAACTCACATTGCACCAGCTCTCACTACAGTACAACCAGTTCAATTCTCACTAGTTATAGATTACTGTATATCAATACTGTACTATATCATACTAATTGACACCTTGAAGGTACAATAGTTTGAACTTGGGACCTATTTATAGGTTCAGTATCATGACTAATATACCTCAGTCTGAGGACTGCACGAAAGGCCCGAGTTTCAGCTGCTCGTTGTCCTTAGAGAAGTTGAAGCTTCTGTACAGCAACAAAATCTGGTTTGGTTGAAACGTCTATGATGATGTGTTTGGGGGTTGCTTGAGTTTACACAAGAAAAAGGTGTTTGCATCCGGTACCTCATGCTAATGGCAGGTGTGAAAGTGATTAATTTAAAAGTTTTACATTATTCCATGATTTGACTCCTAGTTACAAGTTTGTCAAGGTTTTTTTTTCCAAATGCAAGGTAACCTGACCTACCTAATTTACCCTAACCGAACTTACTTAAGCTAAGTGACCTAGCTAACCTAACTTGCCTAACCTAACTTAATAAAAAAACCTAATGTTTTACTTATGTTAGTTTAGGTATGTTAGCTGTGATTTAGCTTCCTCATTTTGATAGCAGACACGTAGGATTAGTGTCTAACAAGAGCACTGCTTCATGAAATAATAGCCACTTTGCATAAATTAATGATCCAATTAGCTATAGAAAGTAAAGCATGTAGGCCAGGAACTTGTCTTTTTAATGACTAATTAGTGTCTAAAAAATATCAAGTTTGTAGACTAAAAATACTTTCTCCCTGCAGGGTTGTTTTGGACAATGGCATCAGCACGGGTGTTGGTGGTGCGTGGGTCACTGTTGCTGAATGCTGTACTGGTGCTGTACCTGTGCCTTGCCTGGCTGGCCACCACACCCACCCACCCCAACCTGCCGGCCGAAGGTGTCTCCCTCCAGTTGTCCAGCCTTCAGGATGCAGATCAGGGTTCTTCCCCTCTGGACTTACCACCACTTGCTGTCTTGGTCAATAACTTTGATGAGGCTGAAGTTAGGGACATATCCCTTGGTGGGCGGCGAACCCTAGGGCAGTTACCAGAGCAGGTTGGAGGTGTGGAACAAGTTCCGAAAGCAAGTATAGAACAAGTGCCTCAGGTAGGTTTAGAGCAGATGCCACACAGTGGAGGTGTGGAAGCTGGTGGAGGAGAACCAGAGGAGCCACCCAGGGAGGTACAAGAGAGTGTGGGGGTGACAGAGCAGCTTGTTGTGGAGCCTCTGGCCATGGAGCCCCTTGATCCGCCATTGGATTCACAAGAGCACAAGATATATCCTGACCTGCGGGACTGTACCACCAGACCCCAACGCCCGTTTTACTATCAGCGGGGTGACTACTGGGTCCTGGAGAATTACATCCCTGCAGCTCTTTCCTTCCGCTGTGATGAGTCCATCACCTACACCACCCATGCTGACTACACCTTCCTTGACAACTTGGAGCCCCTCACTTCCCGCTGGCAGGTCAGTCCTCACATTCCACAGTAAACATAAGTAAAAAGCCATCTTCATGTCTGAAGGTTGGCAACTATGGCCTAATATCCAAATTTTTGGACTGTCAATCCTCCCAGATTTTTTATCACTGGGGATCACAGATCTTAATTTCATTCATTGTCCTAGTCACTGCCCTCCTGTGGTTGTATCTTCATTATAATTTATCTTGTTTAAGAATGAGTGGTATTTTGCTGAGTCACCGTGGTAATAGTGTTACCAAGAAAAATGAACATCAAGGTAACAAAAAGCATCTTAGGGCTTCTAGGATGAGTTTAGGGGACATATTCACAGTCCTTACACCACGTCACTGCTGGGGAGAACCGCCATGTGTGGTTATTCAGAGATGCCAGCAGACCCGAAGGCAGTCTTGGTGGACCGGGTTTCCTATTGGGATCTTTAAGCAATTCATCAGGAGAGAGTACTTGCCCTATGGCAATCCTGATGAATATAAAAAGTTTTTCACCCTCGAAGTTTTGATATACAGTATTGAGATAGAATATATTAAAAACTGATAGGAAATAAGTTAATTGGTGACAGAAAGTTTTGTTTCCATGTACGTACTGTACATGCAAAGATTGTCAGTTATTTAGAAACAATTTCTCTTGTCACAGCTCCGGGGGTCAGATGCCTTGTTTTTTATAATTTTACCCTTCTCTTGGATGAGGCTAACTAGAGCACTGCACTGTTTAAAAGACAGTGGTACACTACGGTCACAGCTATCCATATTTCCCACATCTTTTCACACCATGTTGCGAGTGATGTGACAGATGATTCGTGGCACACCAACCGCCGGCCATCCCAGTGTGGGCAACACCTTCAAGACAGACCTCACAAACACCAGAGAATAATAATTTCTATATCCCATAGATATCCTCTTGAAGCTTTTATGTTCATTTGGTTATATGATCTTTTTTTTTTAGTTTTGGTTACTTTTTTTTTTGGGTGGGGAGTTTGAAATATATTGTGGTACTTATGCCTACGCTGTAGCAACAGTGGGCTATCCAACTAATTTGCACATGTTGGTAACCCTACCTGGTGGATCGGGATCCTGACCCATCGTAGTCCCAAAGCATGATCTTGAATACTGTACAATCTCTCGACACGAGCTTCAGGTTCCCGATGATTGGGCTCATCGTCAGGTATGTCGACTGTGAATATTTGGGCCTAACACAGGACACTGAATAAAAATCATTAATCCCTTTCAGTTGAAATAAATCTTGAGCAATCTAATTTATCAATATTTTTTCACTTTACAAAACTGTCCTGAAATTCACCACGTCAGATATATAATTAAAAATCCCAGCTTAAAGCTGAAGTACATACAGGTAGTTGAAGAGATGCTGATAAAGAATTGCTGTTTATGGGAACAAAATTGGATAAAATATGTTTTTAGATACAGTACATCAGTGCTACTCAAAGTGGTGGTCCGCAAGCCATCGGCTGCCAGTCCGCAGCGAGTTTCCAGGAAAGAAAGAAACAGTAGTATAATTAAAAATTAGCCCCGGAATTCCACCAAGAATAATTATCAGTCGATAAAGAAATGAGTTCAAAGCCAAAAGAGTTCTCTGAAAGAATGCATGTTGATTTAAAAGGCTGTCAGAAACAGATCTTTGAAGTGCCACACATAAAAATACTTGTGCTTTGTAGGCTTCTTATAAAGTAGTGCTTCGAGTTGCTGAGGCTAAAAAGCCATACAACCATCAGTGAGACGCTAGTGATAGGTTGTATATATTAAAGGTGGCGACCTGTGGTGTAATGGTCAGCATTCTCACCTCGCAAGCGAGCGGACCCGAGTTCGATCCTCGGGCAGGGTGAAACTGTGGGCAAGTTTCTTTATGCCATTTGCCTTCTACCCGGCAGTAATTTGGAACCTGGATGTTAATCAATTTGCAAATCGCATTCCGGGGTAATGGTTAGCCAGTGCAGTTGGCGAGTTGTCCGGTCTTCTTGGGTCATGCAGCTCGTTAACTTAGGGTGTGGTTGTTGTGTTGGCGACAGCTTCTACACTTTAAAAAAAATTCACGCCTAGGTGGCCCTTGGGCCGGCCATCCTCGATTTCAAGGGGCTTTCATTATAACTTATATATTAAAGATGTCTGCATGGAAATGCTGGGTGAGCCAGTGGCAAAGAAAGTGGTTCAGTTGCCACTTTCAAATGACACTATAGCTCGACAAATTCACGATCTGGCTCACGTTATGGAAGATCAGCTCATAAGACAGAATAAATTTGCAAAGTACTTGCCTTTGCAGCTTGATAAATGTACAGACGTTGCTAATTTGGCAATTCTGATGGTGTATGTATGCTTTGAACATGAGGATGATTTGAAGGAAAGAGTTTTTTCTGCTTCACTACCAACAAAAACATTTTTTAATAATATCTTTGTTAGGAGATTTTGTTGGTTTGACTTTTTATTATTTTTTATTTATACTGTATTGTGATACTGCATTATTTGTTTACAAAATAAATATAAAATATAAATGTGTCAACTTTTATTATACTGTATTCAATATATTGTTTCCGTTATAAATTAATACTACGATTGTTCAAATAATATTTTCTTGGATCGTAAATTAGCAATAGTAATTTTATACTATCCGCACAGATGCACAGCCTTTCACTCAATCCTCAGTGTGCTTAAATGGGAACATATCCACGAGTATGCGACACTTGGTATCCACACTCCCATTCCAATTAATAAAGAGAAGAATGTTAGCGTTTCTGATCTGATGTGCGAAGTGCCTATGCGAATACGATAATAATATGGCACAAATATGGTACCGGTCCCTGGCACATTGGAAAAAAAAATTGCTGGTCCACCACATCAGATAGTTTGAGAACCAATGCAGTACAGAGTTCCATGTATCAGCACTGCCAACAACTATGACCATGACCAGGTTTTCTTGATCTTTGCTTGACTCCTATACTGTGTAACAGATATAAGTTTACTATCTAAGACACAGATTTTATTGACATATTCACCAAATCTTTATCAGGTAGAATTACCTATCTCATCACCATAATCTTGCACTAACCACAATTTGTTAGATAATAGATTTGTGGCCATGTGAGTTGAGGTGAATCACATATTGATTGAATTAGCCTGTCTGTCTTTCATGATTGAGTTATGAGATTTTTGCCTGTTCAGGATGATGTTTGCACATGATGATGGTTTAACATCTTTAAGATGAGTGTTTAATTACTCAAGGGTGAAGATAGTACTGTATACAGTATAAATATTTTTAGGATGATGGTTTAAGAGAACAATGGTGTAATGCCTTTAGGATATTATCTTATTAACTGAAGGATTTTGGTTTAACTTTGAGGAAAATAATCAATGCCTTGAGGATGAGGGCTTAAACAATTACCCTCTAGGTTTTAATTCTAAGTTAGCTCCCATTAATTTGGAATCCAGTAGGGTATACAGTAATATTTATGTTAATGAGAGTTTGGCATGAGCATTATACTGTTTTGTATTCTTTTAATATAGAAACTTCAAAGTTTATCCTGGACCTCTTTGAATCATGAATATACAATAGACTATAGTGTAATGATACTTTATTTTCCAGGGTCCCGTGAGTGTGGCAGTATATGCACCTGGAACTGATTTTAATGCGACTCTCAACACTATCCTCTACCTCCGTGACTGCTGGGCCGAGGGCATAAAAAAATATGTCACTTTCCACCTCTTCTTTCATGTCTCCCACACGCCTAAGAAGGTAAATAATGCATCGTGAATAATGATTAGCTTATTGAGTTGAATGTGAGCTTTGTTTACAATAATGTACTGTACTGTATACTCGAATATTTACAAATATATAAAATACATTGCATGTGTTGTTGTGCACTTGCTGTATTGTGTGCATTTTTCATGCATTTCCACAGTTGAAAGGGAACGTGTTAATGGGATGGATGACTTTGTACAGTACATTTATTGTTTCACATGACTTGTTGACTTACTCCTCCAACAAGAATTTTCATCAGCTTTCAATGCTTCTTAATACTGGTATTGTAACTCCTATGATAATGTTACATACAAAATGCAAGATGGAGGAATGAAACTTTTTGTAGAAACTCAGAGAGACAATTTTCTATTTTAACTTGTTTAAGATCCGACTCGCTATACAGAGGCAAAAACACCCAAACCACTGGACCTCATCATAACTAATGAAGAGGGTATGGTGGCCAAGTTAGAACATCTAGCACTGTTGGCACTAGTCACGACAGAACCAAGGTTCAAATATTACAAGAGAAATTATGACGGGATGAGGGAGAGGGGGGATATAAAGGGTATCCACTGGTCTGACTCACTATGATACAAGAATGCAGATACTGTACTACTCTGAATATCATAGCCAATAAAGTGAACTAGTATTTTATTGATAAATATACCCCCAAGACCAAACCCACTCACTCCAGGAATACAAGGAGACTGTTACACATGAACCATGCGGTGATTGACAAAGTAAAGAAAAAATCTCGATGTGAGTCCTATCTTCAAGAAGGGCGATCGTCACTCCATGAACAACTATAGACTGGTGAGCCTGACCAGCATAATATGTAAAGTACTTGAGAGTATTATCAGAGATGCCGCGATGGAACATCTACTACGAAACAACCTTGTAAAGGATTGCCAACTTGGTTTTATGCCGGGGCGCTCCTGCTTAACACAATTGCTCAAGATATTGGATATTTGGACCCATATTCTGGAACGGGGTGGTAATATCGACAATATTTACCTAGATTTTGCCAAGGCTTTCGACAGTGTACTCCACAAAAGGCTGAAAATCAAACTGGAAGGGTGTGGAATTCGGGGAAATGTCCTAGCGTGGATAGAAGAGTTTCTACATGACAGCAAGCAGTGTGTGGTGATTAATGGCGTGAAATCATCATCCATACCTGTCACAAGTGGGGTACCACAGGGCAGTGTATTGGGCCTGCTGTTGTTTGTTTGTTTCATAAATGACATGCCTGACGTTGTACACTCCTCCATACAAATGTTTGCCGATGACGCCAAGTTATTTCGGGAAATCAAGAACCAAGCGAACTGTGAAGAGCTGCAGAAGAACCTCTGTGGGCTCCAAGAATGGTTGCTGAGATTCAATGTCATGAAATGTAAGAGGATGCACCTGGAGCGTACCAACGGTAAGGAGGCATATCATATGTCCTAACGGGATGAAGAAACTGCACTATTTGAGAATGAATGTGAGAAAGACCTAGGTGTGCATGTTGACAATGACCTGAAGTTCTCGGGCCATTGCGAGAAGAAGGTAAATCAGGCAAATAAATTATTGGGTCATACTGTATAAGAAGGTCATTCAGATATCTTGACGGTCCGTCCCTCGTAACGATCTTCAAGAGTGAAGTGCTTCCCCATTTGGAGTACTGTCACCCCGTCTGGTTCCCGAGATATGCTAGGGACTGTCAGTTGGTTGAAAATGTTCAAAGGAGGGCCACCAGACTGGTGCCTACCCTTCGGCACCTCAGCTACCCTGAGAGACTGGAGTGCCTGAACTTGCCTAGCTTATACTATAGACGAGCAAGGGGTGACTTAATAGAGGTGTATAAGCATCTCAAAGGGCACTCTCAGTAGAGTGTCCTTACTTGGAGCTGGCGGACGCTCGCCCCACAAGGGGTCACAGCTCAAGATTGAAGAAGCCGCAAGTCCAGAAAACTATGAGGGTAAACCTTTTCGGAGTGAGAGTTGTGAACTCTTGGAGCAATCTACCAGAAAGTGTTGTGACGGCACAAAGTGTGAGCTCTTTGAAGACAAGACTTGACCAACACTGCAGTGGGTTCAGGTACATTCAGGAGCCGGTGCATGCCCAGTACTTGCCAACAGTGCGTAACAGAGACGTGACCGATTGCGCAAGCGGCTAACGAGCCGATCTTTTGGTGAAGAGGACAAAAGAAAAGGAAAAGTAATCAGAGATGTGACCGATCGCCCATGCGGCTAACGAGTTGATCAGTGGTGAAGAGGATAAAAGCAAATACATTCTAGAATATTCTTACATAATTAATACATCAATATATACTGCACATAAAATTTTCACCAAATTTGCCCAAATTACTGCAGCATGGGACAGAAAACAATCAAAACACCTAGTTGCCGAATTAAAATATAAAATTATACCTCGGCATATTATTATTATTATTATTATTATTATTATTATTATTATTATTATTATTATTATTATATTATTATTATTATTATTATTATTATTATTATTATTATTATTATTATTATTATTATTATTATTATTATTATTATTATTATTATTATTATTATTATTATTATATTTCCGCCCCCAGGCCATGATTTGGGTCATTTACCTGTGCCGTGGTGTGCTAATCCCGTAAAAAAAGAAAAAATGGCGCACTGTGTTATATCTTGGATTCACAGGTTCATGATTCTCTCATGGTTCATGGATGGGAGAGAGGACTGACAGGATAATTTTTTGATGGGTGTACCTATATTATGTATATCAAGATAAATGACACCAAACATATAAAGTAATGGATAATAATGAACATTTGTAAAGAATTGAATTAAGTGTAAACACCACATGCAGTGTTATAGTTTAAGACGAAAGCATGAATTTGTTTGTGATTGAACATTATGTACAGATTATGTGAACATTATGTACAATATAAGCTTAGTACCATCAGCTTAAGAAAATGACTATAGTTCTGCTATAACGCGATAATTGTGTTCTTGTAAAATATCGTGTTATAGAAAATCGCGTAATAGAAATAACAGGGCTTATGGAGAAAATAGGGTTAGGTGCAGATTACTCGAAATCGAAAAAATTTAGTATTTAGCCTAACACAAAGGATAGCACAGTCTAAATAAATGTTACATTCATATCTAATAATGAAATCATACAGTAAATTTAACACTTTACCTTGAAAAAATATGAATGTAACTTGATGGGGGAGAAGGGTGATTTTGAGGTTGATAACATCGAGCTTCTCTTCAAGTGTTATATCCTTTCTTTTACGATAATCACTGGGAATTCTATCATCAGAACGCTTTTTGGAGATATTCTTCTTTACCATATTCACAGTTAATACCACAAAATTGGAGAAATAGTAAGCAATCATATATAGCAAAACAAGCGTCATATACAAATATTGTTCAATTCATAAACGTTAGAGCAAATTGCCAAGTATCAAAACACGCGGCGGTAGCAGAACTCCCTGGTACAGGTATAGTTAAAAAAATATTTCACAAGGAAGCAATTGGTGGTAGAGTTTGATCATTTACGCGGTCAATTGAACCCGTGGAGGTCCGCATAAAACGAGAAACGCGTAAATGAAATAGCAGAACATATGGGATTAATTGAAATTGAGACTGGGCCGACCACCAAACTACACTTTTTCCGACACAATACGTATGTTGTAGTAAAAATAACATCTTAATGTTATGATGGTATGCACACACAATTAATATTTAAGAGAAATAGCAATAATATTAGGTTTTTTAACACTTACTTTAGTAGAAAAGATGGCTGGGCACACGGGGATGGGGGGTTGGTTCTGAGGCAGAGGGCAGATTATCGGCCCTCACCTGTATCACTTGTATCAATTGTATCACTATCTACCACAGAGGCTTGCAAGGCCTTTTTGTCAAACCCCTCAAAGTCCATATCCTCACTATCACTGACTTGGGCCGGCTGTGGTGGGTGGCGGGTAAAGAACTCGGTAATGTTTTGATGACTGGGCAACCTTGTGCGCATCCTGCCCGCGTCACTTCCCGCGTATATGATGAAATTTACCGCCTAATTAAAACATTTCATTCTGGCAAGGCACCATGTAAATGACCAAACGCGTTAACAAAATCTGCATAAATCCAGACTATATACTGTACTGTACTGAATTTTGCAAGAGTCATCTTACAGAGAAAACAAAGAGTGAGCCAAATTGTCAGGGTGAGAAGCCACAGTTTAAACAATCAAATTTAAAACCTTGTTTACTCTCCTAGGATCTTTTCTTCTGACTTTGATATTAGGTTGATTTTTAGCTGATTTATTTCATATTGAAAATAATTAATTTTCTTTATGTATTTTTTTTTTTTTTTAGGTACCATCCACTGATGAACTTTTAAAAAGGAAGACTGACTGTGCACTGGAGCCCCCTCGCTGGACTAATGTTACTACATACAGACAACAGAGGAAATTGTTATATCCTGTCAATGTAGCAAGAAACACTGCAAGACAAGCTGTTCAAACTTATTTCGTGTTCCCGTCTGATGTGGAGTTGTATCCTTCCATTAACTTCATTACAGGTAAGCGTTAGTGATATTGGAGTATTTGTTATCCAGGAATAATTCTCCTGGTGATTATGGCAAGTTGGCATGTTTCCTAATATTTACCAAATATTATTAATTGTCATCTTTGTGGAGATTTATAGTCTTGTTAAAGTTTCTGATATCCCTACTCTCTTGAAGGGGTGCAGTGACCAAGCCAAATGGATACAGCACTCATCTCCTGTTTCTAAAGTTTGATCCTGGGTACTCCAGTTGACCCAGTTATCAATGGGTATTGTACCTTATTTACTGATGAGGGAGTGAAGGTATTGTAACTCCTTGCGACTTTAGAACAAAAGGTCAAACTGAATTTTGATTAAAATCACAGGTATTTTTACTTTACCTTTATCCTCTTTAGTTGTTTCGTTAGCCGCTTGGTGTCAGTCACGTCTCTGATATGCACTGTTGGCAAATATTAGGCAGGCACTGGCTCCTGAAAATATCGGAACCTGCTCCTGTGTTGGTCAAGTCTGACCTTGAAAATGCTCACACTCGATGCTGTCACAGCACTCTTTTGCAGGTTATTCCAAGAGTTCACAATTCTCAATCTGAAAAAGTTTGCCCTCACTGTTTTCTGGACTTGTGGCCTATAAACTGCCTGGGTCATGAAGGTTGTCAACATCAAGCTACATCCACCAAACTTAACACATTTTTCAGTTATTAAGGATAATTCTAAGACCACAGACACTCTCACTCTGGAAGTGGCCCTTGACTTTCACCCTCCTACCATGCCGGTTGCCTAAGCTCCCCCCATCAATACTTCCCTCACCCTCTTGTGACCTGTCATGTAGAAAGGCCTTGAGCTCACGGGTATGGTAGTAGGAGGGGTGGATGATTACTTTTGACCATGACTGTACAGTAATATGTACATCATATTAAGCATTTGGGGTAAAAAAATTAATTACAGTACTGTAATTAGTTGTGTTAATGACTCATTACATCTTCCAACACAGATTTCTTGCTTCCTGTAAGTTTTTGATGTTTTTGTTGATATATTTCTGTAATCCTGGAGCTACTAGACTACCTAGATAAGTACATGTACATTAATTTCTGTTTCCTAGCTTTTTATTGCTTATGGTGAATACCTTAATAGTTAGAGCATATACCTGCACAGTATTTAAAGAATTTTAAAATTGTATTTCAGAATTCTTCAAGATGCTCAAACAACCTGATAAATCCAATACAACCAGTCCAAGAGTTTATGTCTTCTCTATTTTTGAAGTTAAAGAAAACATATCTGTGCCAGAAACAAAAACTGACCTTCAGAAATTACTGAAAAAGGGGGATGCCATTCCATTCCACAAGCACGTGTGTTCTAAGTGTCACAACGTACCAATGTCAAAAGTAAGTAAAAATTTTATAACGTGAGTAGAAGTTTTAGAATTTTCTTTGCTACCCTCTTAACCTCTGGTCATCACTCTAGCAAGTTGGGTGGTTAGTAATTTATCTGTTTTGCACTACTGGCAGACACTGAGCATAAACTGGGTTTGGTATATACCTGAACCTGCACCAGCAGTGGTGAAGCCTGATCTTAAATGAGTTCACACTCGGTGGTCTGACAATTTTTTGTATTTGTGGCTTCTTTGAATTGAGGCTGTGACCTCGGGGCAGCATCTTCTATTTCTAGATATGAGCATTCAATTGGGTAATATCCTCTGAGGTGCTTATAGACTTCTATTAAATCACCTCTTGACTTTCTATAGTATGAACTAGGCAACTGCAATCATTCTAATCTCTCTTGGTATTTGAGGTGCTGGAGTGAAGACACAGGTCTCTTGGCTCTTTTGGGGATATTCTTAATCACCTGTCAGTCAGTAGCATATGTTGGGGAACCAGATGGGATAGCAGTACTCCAAGTGGAGAGCAGCTCACTTTTGAAGAGTGTAATGATTTCATGTCTTAATAATTTATTCACTTGATATACTGTACCTTCTTTTCTCTACGGTTTTAAAACTTGAGTCCATTGTTAACATACACCCAGTTCCTTTTCACATTTGGTCTCAGTTAATGAAGTTTCTTCATCATGTTGGGACATGTGATTTTGCCTCCTTACTATTGGTATGACATCGGTGCATTCTCTTGCATTTTGTAACATTGAATCTTAACAGCCATTCCTCTGACCACTTCTAGTGCTGATTGAAATCTTCCTATAACATTTCAAAGTCCATTTGATTCTTAATTTCCCTGAATAACATAGTATCATCCTCACCTGGCATATCAGTCATGAAAAAAAATAATTAACTGATCTCAGCACATTACCCTATGGTATCCTACTTATCATGGGTACACATGATGATTTCATATCATTAGTCACCACACACTGCTTATGGTCATGAAGGAAGTCTTTGATCTACTCCAGGATGATCATCCCAAATTCTGTAACCTTCCAGTTTAATTTTCAGTCCTTCATGAGGTACTCTATGGAATGCTTGACAACGTCAAGGTTTATTGCATATATTGTTGACAATGCCAGGATGTATGTCCACACAACCAGTACCTTAATTACAGGTAATTGTTTTAAGCAGGCGAGTCTGGGTATAAGACTGTGCTGGCATTCCTTTATGAGGTAGATCCATTGTAGATGTTCCACCATGGCATCGTATTTGATGCTCTCTGGTACTTAACACACTTTGTTGATCAAATTCATCATCTTGAAATTGTTTGTGTAATGGTGATCTCCGTTTGAATGGAGGACTCACATATGCAATGCATTTTCCAGTCACTGGAATCTTTATTTCATTCATGTTTCTGCAGATTAACATTTTATGTGGCTCTGCAAGCTCATTGCACAGCTCTCTTAATACTCTGGGATATGCATTATCAGGGTCAGGAGTCCTGACCCAGTACTCTTCTGAGCTATGAGCTTTGACAATTTTGTTCTGATTCATTCTTCTGAGATCTCATTGTGCATTAGTCCCATGTGAAATTGTTTTTTCTCGAAAGCAGGGGAGTTGTTTGCATCCTCTCTTGTAAGAACTGCAAGGAAAATAATTTATTTAATGCCACTGCTTCAGCCTGATCTGATCTGCATAGGTAGTGATCATCTGAAAGTCTCAGATCTGATATATCCACATAATGTTATTCTCACTTATATTCTGTTAAAACCAGTATAGAATATGGGAATGGGATGAGGTTTAGTTCTTCCACTCTCACTCAACATCTCTTCCACTATCCCTCACTCCAAGGCAATGTGCAGTAATCTCCCTGTTAGCCCGAATAATTTTTAGAGCTGTATTTATGTACAGCTAGACCCCGACTTACGACGGGGTTAGGGACCCAAATCCAGGTTAGTAAGTCCGAATGGTCATAAGTCCGAATGGTAAAGTCGAATGGTCGTAAGTCCGACATAGATAAAAAAATTAAATAAATCTACAATGAAATACAGTACAGTAAAAGTAATAAATAATGAGGAATGTATACAGTACAGTGAAAGTAATAAATAATGAGGAATGGATACTGACTGAGCACTTACCTTTAATGTAGTCAGCTGAATGCACATGGGGCCCCATAATTTTCTAATTATACATGGAGACTACATTAACTGGAAACGTTTCGGTATTGAAAATGCGTGTGTCATTTGGAAAAAAAAAAAAATTGAAAAAAAAAATGGTCACAACTGCGTGATTAAGTAAGTCGGGGTCTAGCTGTACAGTACAGTATGCAAACACCACTGTACACATACAATATATTGTAAATAAGCAAAATATACTTCATACTGTATACACTATAATATGCACTGTACTCACCAGTAGATACTATTGTCTTGAGCTTGTGATGCAGGCAGGTTAAATGGTGATATGATGATACAGGATGGCCTGCCTTTGTCTTGTACCATCTCCTGTAGCAGGTGTTGTTAACTGTCACTCTCCTTTCCCTCCATTAGGGGGGGATTGTTCACATACTGTATACTCTACTACACTAGCATACACTGTCCACTCTGCTATGCACAGTACTGTACATATGGTACTACTTTCACATTTATTGAAAGTACAGTGCAGTATATGTAACTGTAATCACTTTTTACGTCTTAACACTGCTTTAACGGTATTCTTGGCTGATTATATTCTGGTACAGTACTATTCAACACAGGTCGTATGCAAAAACAGCAGTGAGTGAACAGGCTTGTACAACAGCAGCAGACAATGAACTAAGTGTGTCATGATGCGAGAGTTTGTGGCGATAGACTGTGAGATACATCAACCAATCATAGCATCCCATGCAGTCACATGACTGTGGCCATTGTACCTCAGGAATACTCTGAACCAATCTACCCACACTACCTATTTGTTCAGCACATGTTGGTGCACGATGCAAACTCTCATAAATTCATTCGAATGTCCTGAACGAAGAGATTTTCCCTAAATTTCTTGGAATACTCAAAATTTTATTTATGGGTAACGTAGAGTTCTGGGAATTGAAGATCCTGGCTAATGGAGATTACTTATATTATCCACTTATTTACTTACTTTGTTCCTAGTCAGCTTAATAGTGGGTCAGGCGGCTGGACTGTTCTCTGTTACACACACTGTTGACAGGTACTAGGAATGTAAAGCTCTTAAATGCATCTGAACATGTGCCAGTGTTATTCAAGTCAGATCGTAAATGAGCTTACTCTTATATGCTGTCATATCTTTCATTGGCAGGTTATTCCAAGAGATCACAGCTCTTGCAACAAAGAAGATAGGTCTGACAATTTTCTGTAGCTTCTTCATCTTGAGGCTGTGATCCCAAGTAGGGCGACAGTCTGCTAACTCCAGATATGAACAGAATATATAAGTAATATCTTTTGAGGTTCTTACAAACTTCTATTCACCCTTATACAGCAGCTAAGAATTCCTTTTTCTGCTCCCACAAGTGCAAAGATGGAATGCTAGGTACATGAAATACCCACTGATGATGGCCAACATTTAAGGGTTAAATCACCCCTTGCCCTTCTATAGAGCTGGAACAAGTATCATGCAAAACTTGTATACGTCCTCAATCTAATCTACTGGTTTTACTTTTATCCTCTTCACCACTGATCGGCTCATTAGCCGCTTGGGCGGTCAGTCACGTCTCTGATACGCACTGTTGGCAAATACTGGGAATGCACTGGCTCCTGAATATAATGGAACCTGCTCCAGTGTTGGTCAATTCTAGCCGTGAATGAGCTCACATTCTGGTAAAGGAACTGGTCAACAGGACCTCTGGGAATATTGAAGTCATCCCATTGGTTCAGGTGCTAACTTCTGGCATAAGGTGCTAACGACACCTTAATAATAATATTATGTAATTGCTCCAGGTTACTAATAGGGAATGAGGATAATCTGATAATGGCTGGGAAAGAGTAGAAAGTAGTGACTGGCTACCTTCTCTTACAGTATGTAATTTTATTAATTGATATAATATTTACTTTTACTTTTATCCTCTTCACCACTAATCGGCTCGTTAGCCTCTTGGGTGATCAATCACATCTCTGTTACTTTTCCTTTTTTTTTATCCTCCTCACCAAAATGATCGGCTCGTTAGCCGCTTGGCGTCGGTCATGTCTCTGTTACGCACTGTTGGCAAGTACTGGGCATGCACCAGCTCCTGAATGTACGTGAACCTGCTCCAGTGTTGGTTAAGTCTTGTCTTGAAAGAGCTCACACTCGGTGCCGTCACAACACTTTCTGGTAGATTTTTCCAAGAGTTCATAACTCTCACTCCGAAAAAGTTTACCCTCACAGTTTTCTGGACTTGCGGCTTCTTCAATCTTGAGCTGTGACCCCTTGTGGGGCGAGCGTCCACCAGCTTCAAGTAAGGACACTTGACTGAGTAGTGCCCCTTGAGATGCTTATACACCTCAATTTGAGCAACCCCTCTTGGTACCCAAGATGTTTTCTTGGGGAAGAGAATGTTCAATGAATGAGCTCTACAGTGAAATAGGTCATTATGTACAGTATAGTCTGCATTTACGCGGTCAATTGAACCCGTGGAGGTCCGCGTAAAACGAGTAATGCGTAAACGAAATAACAACATATGGGATTAATTGAAATAGAGATTGGGCCGACCCCCGAACTTCACTTTTTCCGACACAATATTTACGTTGTAGTAAAAATAACATCTCAATTTTATGATGGTATGCACACACAATTAATATTTAAGAGAAATATCAATATTATTAGGTTTTTTAACACTTATGGTAGTAGAAAAGATGGGTCGGCACACGTGGATGGCTGCTGGTTCCGAGGTAGAGGGCAGATTAGTTGCCCTCCGGTGAATCACTTTCACTACTTGCAGAGGTTTGCAGGGCCTCCCAGACAAACCCCTCAAAGTCCATATCTTCACTGTCACTATCACTGACTTGGGCTGGCTGTGGTTGTGGTGGGTTGCAGGCGAAGAAGTCCTTAATACTCACGTTGACGACTAGCATTGATGTTGTGAGATAGATCTGGATATCACGGCTCCATAACTTTTCGACAGATGGTTATTAGACACTTCATACCGATGCTTGTCTGCGTTGTAAGGATGAGCTTAATTTTCTCCCCAAGTCGATGATTTCCTTCACATAATGATGGCTTGGTTCAGGTAATTCAAGGTTTCTGGGGTGGTGGGGTCCAGCGGAAGCCATTGTGAGGGGAATAGTGGGCACAAGAGAACTGTATCAGCGGACTGAGAACAATGAGACTGGCGGCTAGGTCAGCGACTTCTGGTGGCAGGGCACGTCATGTTACATTAGACCAATCACAGCTAGCGGCGGAGGCAATGCACGGGTGGTAAGGATGCGTGGCCCAATCACAGTCCGATATGTCATATGACGTCAGCGATAACGTAAGAGCGACCTAATGCGCACCCTCCGCTCCGCTTCCCGCGTATGGTCAAGAATGGACGTGTGAGTAAAAAATGGCGCGGCGCGTAAATGATGAAATTCACCGCGTAATTAAAACATTTCATTTTGGCAAGGCACGGCGTAAATGACTAAACGCGTAAACAAAAACCGCGTGAATCCAGACTATACTGTATACCATTACTGTACAGTATGTGAAGTCATTGTTACAGCATTTAAATACAATGTAATACAGGTACAGTATTAATGTATTTATTTAATAGTGGTGGGCTTCACAGAAGCTTTAATCTTATCTGCATTCTTTAAAATTAACTTAATTGTCAGTGAATCCAGAGTGGTGCTTGTTCTTGGCATTTGGATTCCTTCTTGGCCCTATCTCTTGCAGATGTCTTTCTAACTTTTTTTCTTCTAATGTACTAGTATATTGTATAATGTTCAGATCAATGTCTGAGAAATGTCTTATAAGGAGAAAACATTGTGTAATATATATATCAATAGGAAGCCAACATTTGTATATATTTGTACTGATTGGCTGTCAATGTTCAGTACTGTCATGGTTTCATTTACTCTATTAGGGTTAGGATTCAGAGTAATAGTTCTTTTGATTAAAAATATGGTCCATTAGTTGCATTATTTTTATGATTTTGATATTTTATACAAACTTGAATCTTATTTGTAAATTTTATTTAATTAAGTTATACTTAATGTTAATTGCATACTTTAAGATAGTGGGTGTAAGAATGGAGAACAAGTTTGAATTTGTTTTTATGTTTTTTTTAAGAAAATTCTCCTTATTGAAACTGCTTTAAATGGGACCTCTCTAAATGGGGTATACTGCTATTGTGCAGTATACATGTAATGTACAATACAGTACAGTACTGTGTACAGTACATGAATTTTAATTTTCTTTCAGGAATGGATTTCAGCTCCCGTGCAACCAGGCATGTCTGTATTTCACATTGGGAAAAGAAAACCACCTTTCCATAAGTGGGAACCAATCTATATTGGAACCAACAAAGAACCTTTATATGATGAGCGGTTATCCTGGGAGGGCAAAAGTGATAAAATGACACAGGTTAGTGAATCTTATGAATCTCTATGTTTGTGGTGATGTAAAGACTGTGGTGTGGCAGGTTATGGTGGTGTTACAGACTGTGTCCTCCATTTGAGAAGGGTGTTATTTAGTGTGACTCTACTAAACCCTGCAGGTTTTCTCTGGGTACTCCTGTTTCTTCTTGTACTCTGTTTCTTCTTGTACTCACATTGCCTGGACATTGAAAGTACTGTACTGTAATAACAATGTAACAAAGAATGGATCAACCACTTGAATGACTGATAAGTGACAAATAAAGAAAAGGAAAACAAGAGAAACAAAGATAAGAGAAATGAGAACAGCTTTATGATGCCCTGAAAATTTTTGATACAGGGGATACAGCACACACACATGACAGACTGTTGGTTGTTGCTGGGATGTAAGTGACAGCTGAACCACCAGAGTTGAAAATAATGTCCCAAAAACCTGATTACCATTTCAATAATCCTCTATTTCTCCAGTCCAATCCAGTACATACAGTACAGCATGTCTTTAAAAATTGCGGGGGTTAGGCTATATGCTTGAAGCAACTGCTCAGGAGTAAAGTAGCTACGGCATCTGTACAGCATTCCCAGCTTTCTGGAGGTAGCTTTAGCAATGTTGAGGATGTGTGGTTTCCATGACATATTTGAGGAAATGGCGAGGCCTAGCATATCTATTTCAGAATTTGGCAGAATGATTGGAGTCCTGAAATATGATTGGTGGGAGATCACCTAATTTGGAAAGTGTAATTGGTAAATACTGAGTTTTATTATTATTGAATTTAACCAAGTTTATACCTCCCCATTCAGAGATGTTGCACAGATCCGCATTGATAGATGAAATTATATCGGCTCTAGAAACAGATCTAGTTTGCGATTTAGGGGGAAGGGAAAAATTTGAAGAAGAGTGAAGAGTAGAATCATAAGCATAAGAATGGATAGAATTAGTCGTAATGTGAAGTAAATCATTGATAAAAAGAAGGAAGAGAGTAGGTGAAAGAACAGAACCCTGTGGGACACCACTACAGTATTGGTAGAGAAAGAGCGAGTCGATCCCTCGACAACAACTGCCGTGGATCGGTTCTCAAGGAGTTGAAAAACCATAACACCTCACAGCTTGGCCCAGTAGCTTGGTGGTTACAATGATGAACTAACCTAGCTACAAAAACATGATTTATCACTGTTAAGCACATTCTATCAATAAACACTATTAATAACAGTAAATCCAGTGAAATGTGGCAGAGAGCGAGGAGAGTTACAACTTCAGATGACTCGCTTTCCAGCAGTCACTCCTTTCACCCGCTCCCATTGCCAGCCGTAGCCAGGCATACGTATGAGAGAAATACATGACCTTATTTTCTCTCTTCACTTGTTTGGGCACCTTTCTGCAGCTGGTTGGAGGTGGTTGAAGGCATTTGGGAGCCATTACAAGCACAAGGAGCATAGTTAAGAGAGCAGAGTAGCACATGCGCGAGACGGACAAGTGTTTATCCCGGACTGAGGCGGAGGAAGCGTGTGTGGGCCAGCCTCCCGGGACAAGAGACACCTTGCGGGACACCACAAAACTCACGCGCTCCCCATACTGGCCGCGAAAATGCCAGCAACTTTAAAACTATCCGCAGATATTCTTGGGTACATCCAGGGTGTCATCTGCGAATAATAGAGACTGCCAAATAAAAATCCATGAATTATCCGGGTATGCTGTATATTTATTTTTTATCATTTCCACCAGTGATTAGTTTATAGCAATTTAGGTGGTTAGTTTGTTTTTTATTATTGCTTTCATTGTCCAGTGTTTGTACAGGTGTAAACTGGCATACCGGTTGAAAACCTGTGATGTGTGATAGGGTCACAATGGATAGTATCCTTCTCACATCCATCCTGGAGACTGCAGCTACGATGCAGTGGTGAGAAGCAAGTATGCTTCCATTATACCAAGAACATGGATAATTTATTTTGATAATTTCAGTTCCCAATCTGCTACATATTGCAATCATTCTGCTACCCAGTCTGTTGATAATGCTAGATGTTCTACTATCCACTTTCATATACAGTAGGGGTTAATCATTCTACTTGACCTGTTTCCCCACATATGCCAGTCTTCTTTTGACTGCCTTATCTTACAACCTGTGTATTCTTGTCATTCTATAACTCGGTCTGTTATATATGGCAAAACGAATGCATTCTCACTGATTGTTGTTTCCCCAGATGTACATCCTGTGTGTTCGTGATTATGAGCTCCACATCCTTGACAATGCATTCCTGGTCCACAAGCCTGGCATCAAGAAATTACACAAAGACCCATTTAGAGACAGGATTGTGGCCAAGCAGAACAGTGCCATTAGCAGTAAGATCCTCCCTGAGTACAAGACAGTGTTTGGTACCCGAAAGAGCTGTGTTATTTGATCTAAATTATTAATTATTTTAAAATTTCAAATGAGTTTTCATGAATATGATATAATTAATAATGTGTGCAGCAAAATGAAGTGCAAAGGTGTAAGTTATTTGACGTTCTCGATTAGTCACACAATTCTTAGAAAAAGGATTGACAAAATTTTCAAAGAACCTTTCTCAAGTGCCGGTAGGCTTTTGCTTTAAAATAAAACCTTCTTGGATATTATTTGTAGCTAACCATATCAAGAGCTCTGTGATGCAAACATAGTATTAAGGTGTAGGTTATAAGATAACTGTGATTCATAATGCATATGCATGTATTTATAAAATAAGTATTATTAGTAGAGTTATGTTATGTGGTGGTTTATGTGAAAAAAAATAATAATACATTCTGTAAGGGGTCACTGATACTGTAGTGTTGTTTGAGTTGCCATTAAATTTTTTATTTCAGTTATAATTTGGATAAGAGATTTAAAGTTTTATTTGAAACTTATTTACCTAAAACCTGGTAATGAAAGATGTTATGTGTGTTGTTTCTCACACTGGTTGGGAGTGTAATACTTTTTGGTAGCAAATGTTGACTTTTTGCCTCGTGTAGGAAAAATGAGTAGCCATTAGCCATAAGTAATTACAAGTTTTTTTGTATAAGTCAGACTGGTTAAGTATCATTGTATTTGGTTACTTCACCAGTGCTCTTAAGTAAACTGTATATTCAAGCACCTCCTGTCATGTTCCCGGTTAAAGTAAAATATTTTTGGTTTATTTAACTACCCTGTAATTTAAAAATATGGGTGGGTGTGGGTGTGTGTGTGGAATTTTTTTTCTAGATGTTGTTTAAAGTCTTTCCTGTCACTTCCACACTTATCTTGCATTCCTCTCCCTGGTCATTCTCCCTGTTCTCTATGAGATTTCTATATTGGTTGATCTACCCCACAGAAACTTAGGGGAGGAATAATGATATTAGATATAGGTAGATAAATACAGTAAGTCTATATTGCGTAAGCACATTTAACTCGAGTTTATGTGTAAATCTCAGGATTGCCATCAGGTTGCGTATCTTTCATTTCAGATTCCAAAAGATACAATGCAGAATGTTCTTTAAATCTTGATGATAAATGAGCAAGTTTGATATTAGTGCAAGAATCATAGATGTTAATTGATCCCAGAGGAACGAAGGAAACTAAGCAAAAGTAATTTTATAGGATCGTTGTATCTATAAAAGGAAGTCTGGTGTCATATCCATTCCCCTGCTCAATTCCTAGACATCTGAACAGTACACTAGATTATGGTATCAATATCTGATGTAGACATCCAAAGTTTAGATGATAGGCATCTTTGTATAACCAAAAGATGTCAGATGTTGTCACCTCATAGGTATTTGTTTGTCTTCTTTTTTCAAGGTCCACCGATTTTTCTCCAGACATATGTAGTGGTTCCTCGGTTAATACTCGGTTAACGAGATTTGGTTACGAGTTACCTTCCATAAGATTCTTAACTTCGGTTAACCAGCAATCCCTCGCTTAACGAGTTTCCTACTAGCCGACCTGAACATGTTTTCGCTTGCATTTGGCGGTCCACCAGCTGTAGTATTAGTCCGCCAATACAGTACTATTGGTTCTAGGGCTTAAATTCCTTACCATTTTAGTAAATATCAAGAAGTTTATACTATTCAATAATTGTAAAGTTTAATATTAAATTTTTCAGTCATTTTAACAATTATTGAACATAATTGAAGAGTAAGGTCACTGGTTTCATCGCGCCATCCAGCTTGTCAACACACCATACGTCAGTCTTTGTGTCTTTTCAGTGGAGGTAACATCTTGCTTGAGACTCTCTTCAACTAAATGCTTTTTTTCTGTGTATGCAAGCAAGTTATTGGTCATTTTGAAATTTATTTTACATATTGACAATATATAATGCAGTGCAGTGTTGTTTTAAAAGAAAATAATCTTGAATTACACCAAGAGAACTAAAATTTTATGGGTGAAATGGCGCATGGGTGACTTCTCTTCACCCAATGCCTTCTCTCCCTTCTCCTCCACCCCATTCTTATTCCATCATCAACATCATCATCCAGGAGCCTTCTACATACACACCTCAAAGTAAGTGTACTTTTCTACCTTTTTGTTGAATTTAGGCAATTTTCGGTGAGCTGGAACCAATTACCCAAAAACCCATTGAAACAATGGTTTCAGGTTATGAGTTTTTCGGTTAACGAGCAACCTTCTAGAACGGTTGTGCTCAAGTTAACCGAGGATCTACAATACCGTCTCTTTCTCATCCAGGTTTGTTCACTTTGCCATCATATTTTTCTCTAAAGACAACGTCTTTCCTGCCAAGAATATTAATTTGATCTGACCCTTCCTTCCTTCTTCCCTCAATACAAGTGCTACCAAGTTCTACTCACATTCCAGTACTAGTTCCTCTTAATGGTATTATTTTATCACCCTTGATTACTACCTCCAGCCTTATTAAAATGGCAATTTTTATATTTAAGGCTGCCAATGTTCTTTTGATAATAAGCATGGCCTTTAAAGTTACCAATTTTACTGCAAACTCTTCAGTTTCTGGTTGGTCTATTCAACACTATCTTCAACAACAAATCAGACTTGATCACGTGATATTTTCTTCAATGATAATTCGTCGTTGGGATCAATTAATTATTGGTGCACCTAAGCTAATCATTTACTGTTTTCCAGCCTCAAAATTTTAATATTTACTTTTAAGTTACTTGTCATCTTAATTCTAGAGACCAACTGGAATCTAAGTAGGATTCATTTGGACAAATGGTTTCGCATAACCAACAGAATTCTCCTTAAGTACACTTCATTCAGTCTCCAAATAACTGAATACAGATGTATTCTGAAATTTTCCTACAAAACCACGAACTCTCCTTCAGTGATAACCAGATGATGCTTCCTTGTCATGAAATTATTCCTTAGGTGATATACTTACTATACAGGTACTGTACTGTACTGTACTTCCAAATTTCTCAAATCATGCAAAACTTTGAAACGTCAATGAAATCACCAGCTTGGTTTAAAGACCTTTGAATGCACATTGCATTACCCACATGAGTTCTGTATAGTTTACTATAGATTTAGGTACTTTCATATTCCAGTATATTCTTCTATTTATTTTGTATATACAGTATCAATATTTATTTTGTTCTTTTGGATTGCAAGTTACATGTTTTTTCTCGTCTCTTAGCGTATATTATTAATTTACCGTCAGTTTGGTAGCTTGAGTGATCACATTGATTCTGTTTAATTGTAACTTCTCTGGTACAGTAAGTCCTCACTTAACGATAGGTGGTTACGTTCCTGAAAACCCTGACTAACGGAATCAATTTTCCCCATAAGAAATGGATAAAATACGGAGTTAGGTTCCCAAGCCTCCCATTGCCCCATAAATTACATTACATATACATAAATTCAATGGAATTTTTATAGAAAATATTACTGTATATACAGTCTCCTCGACTTACGACATATTCGAATTATGACAACTCGGACATAGGATTGCCATGGTCATATAAAATCTTTTTCACATTACGTATTTTCGAGTCCCGATGTTAGTGATCGTGCTGTGTACTGACAAAATTTTCATTTGTAATTCCCTTTAAAATTGCTGGCAAGCGTACAAGTTAGAGTTCTTGTGGTGCCGAGAAGAAAAAGAGACACCCATTTTAGACTTACAACCTGTCATCGGGATGGAATCCCTTAAGTTGAGGAGAGACTGTATTATACATCCATCCTCCTCCCGCTCTGACTGTGTGAGAGAGGGTGATGCGCCCATTACAAAGTAGTCTGTGACGATGTTACAACGAATCAGCGGGACGTTGTCCAAATCATGGGTATCTAAAGAGTAGCGACATTATAGCAGCTGGCGTTGTGGGGCAGCGTTAAAGCGAGGACTTACTGTAGTTATTTTGCCTTAGATACTGTAGGGTTAATTTATGACTTGTGAGTCATTGGGTAAATATTCTGCGAGATTCATTTCCTGAAACACTTATTAGTACATGTACAGTCTTCCTCACACAAGGGGCAGACAGTACAGTACCCTGGACAAAGCCGGTTTTGTTAGGGGTTGTTGTTGTGGAGGAATCTTGTAGGTCACTTTGTTTCTTCACCTTGGCCATAACATCGAGATTTTTTTCCTTTTGGTAATTCCTTGAATATGAAACTGACCA